TTTTTACATCGTTGAAATGACGATGATGATAATAATGATGATGATAACGGTGATGATAATAATAATGATGATGATGATAAATGAATCGTACTCGAGCGTTTGTTCTTCCATTCCATTCTCTTGATTGGATTTTTTTTTTTTTTTTATTAATAATAAATAAAAATTTGTACATATTGTGGGGGTCCGTGCGTGAGTGAGTGAGTGAGTGAGTGGGTGGGTGAATGCGTGCGCGAATAAAATTTTTTTTTTTTATTAATTAAAATAATCAATCATTCATTAAAAATAAAATGATGATGATGATGATGACGATGGTTCATACTTCCGATACATACATAACCAAAAAAAAAAAAAAAAAAAATTAATAATGAATTTATTTTTTATTAATTAATAAGTCGTTAAATAAAACGCATAATACATAAATAAACGAATGAGAATCCGTTATTATTATTATTATTATTATTATCATTATTTTTTTTATATAAGTAAAATTATTCGCACGACACACCCGTCTCTCCTCTTCCATAAATAAATAATTAAATAATGACAAAAATAAAAAATTTATTTACAATAATAATAATAATAATAGTAAATAATAAATAATAGATAATAATAATAGATAATAATAATAAAATAATCAATAAATTACAAAAAAAAAAGAATTATAATAATTATAATTTTTTTTTTATTTATTTATTTCCAAACAGTTTTTTTATATTTATATATTTTTAAATAATTTTAATATTAATAATAATTATTTTTAAACGTGTAAAAAAAAAAAAAAAAAAAAAACAATAAATTATTTTATTATTATCATTATCATTATTATTAATCAATAGCAGGAAAATACATAAATTATGTTAATAATAAAAATATATATATACATACATACTGTCCATAGATTATATATGATGTTTAACATAAAATTTTTTTTTTTTTTTTATTATTATTATTTTGTGATACGTTATCGTTATTATTATTATTATCATCATTAAAACAGTTACAGGTCAATAACCTTGCATATATTGTAATAATAATAATAATAATAATAATAATAATAATAATAGTAAACGATGACGATGATATTTTTTTTTTTTTTTTTTTTGAAAAAAAAATTATTTAATTTTTAATACCAACATTGTTGTAAAAAATGAAAATAATAATAATAATAATAATAATTTTTTTTTTTGTGTGTGTGTGTGTGTTGGCAACAGTACCCCGATAGTCCCTCTTAGAGTCTAGTCACAAAAAAAAAATAAAACTTAAAAAAAAAAAATTAATTAATTAATTAATTAATTATTGTTAAATATTATTATTATTATTATTATTATTATTATTATGTGTAGGAGGTTTTATTTAATTAATGATTGTAAAAAAAAATTTAAAAAGAAAATCTTCCAGGCCGATTTTGGAAAATCATTCTATCTATTATCACTAGGTATGATAAACAATAACAATAACAAACAAAACAAAACAAACAACAACAAACAAAACAAAAACAATATCTAGGTTTTATGTCATTCATTCATTCATACATTTTTATTTTTATTTTGGAGGGGGGGGTGTGGATATTGAGCAAGAATTTTACTTTTTTAAGAATTTAAACAAGTATTTTTAATAAGTAAAATAAATAAATAAATAAATAAACATACAACGGCATTCCAATAAATAATATAAACTTGCTCACATATCCAATTGTGTATTTAAAAACTTTATCATTCCACAATTTATTATTTATTTATGTACGATAAACAAAGGAAAACAAAATATTCATTTTTAAAAAAAAAAGGTTTTTCTTATTTAAATCAAAAACAAAATTATTAAAAAAAAAAACCTTTGAATTATTTTCCTTTGTTTGTTTTTATTTATTATTTAATTTGAATTTAAAATTGTTTAAATTAAAACAAATTAACAAAAACTTTTGGTATTAAAAACAAAACAAAACAAATATGGCGGTTAAATTTGGCGGGTTTTATCGTTAGCATAGACACCTATCGTTAAAAATTGTAACTAAAAACGAAAAAAAAATTTAAGTTGGCAATCGTAACGTTCTTTCTTTTTCAAAAATGGCGTGGTTAACGAAGGTTCGTATAATAAAAATTAAAATTTAAAATAATTTATTTTTTTAATTAATTGTTAATGTTTTACGTTAAGGAAAAAAATTTT